TTGAACGAAAATTTTTATGCCTTTCGGACACAAATCTTAGCCACATCTCCACCACCCACTCTCCGTCGGAGTTTTCAACTGGCGGTGCAAGATGAGAGCCAACGCCAATTGAACTTCAGTAGGCCATCCACTGACTCACTCGCTTTTGCAGGTTTAAGGGAACATGGAGAACAGTCACGGCTAGGGCAAACTGAAAGGGAAAAAGAACCAAATTTATATGCCGAGATGAACGGCCCAGAATCAATCTCTAAATCTGACGGTCACAAGCTTATCGCGTTTTTAAATGCATCCAGCGGTTCAAATCGAGCCACATCACAGCATGGGTCAAACAAGTCAACAAGCTGGTCAAATAGGCCTAATTCTTGGTCAAATGGATCCAGAAATGGGTCTAATGGGTTTGGAAATTCAAGATCTAATCGGGGACGATTATACTCTAACTACTGCAAACGACAAAACCATGATCGAGACCATTGTTGGAAATTACATGGTTGTCCTGATTTCAACAACAAGGACAAAAATGGTAATTCCTCTTCTTTTCAGGTTGACTCCCTTCCTTCTGGAAACCACCAAGCACCTGCTCTCACTCTAGACCAATATAATCAATTGTTTCAGTTTTTGAATAATGCTCCCACTGCTCCCACAACATCTTACGCAGGTACTTCTTACTACTTCAATCTACTTACTGCTGAAATGTGGATTATTGATTCAGGGGCTAGTGATCACATCATTTGTAATCCTAAGTTTTTCAATACTATTTCTACTACCTCATCCACCTCCGTTTGTATGCCAAACGGAAACATAACCTGCCACTTACATAGGGACCGTCAAATTATCTGACAAATTATTCCTTAAGAATGTGCTCTGTGTCCCTGCTTTCCATTTTAACCTCATCTTCGTATCCAAACTTTGTTCAGATAATAGTTGCACTGTTGAGTTTTGTCCTAACACATGTAAATTTCAAGACCCTTCGACTGGGAAACTGATGGGCTTGGGTAAAATTGATAGAGGTCTATACTATTGGGCACCCGCTGAGTCTTCTAATTTTCTTTCTCCTTGTATTACAACAAATAAAATTACCAATTGTAATACAATGATTAATAAAAACTCTTTCATTCTTCATCAGAGATTAGGTCATAGTGCAACTATTCCTCAACCTCATTGTCCAATATGTCCCTTAGCAAAACAAGCCCGCATTACTTTTCCAAACAGTACCTCCACTACAACCCAACCTTTTGCCCTAATCCATCTTGATATTTGGGGCCTATACCACACCCCAAATCACGATGGATCCAGATTTTTCCTTACCATGGTTGATGATTTTTCACGGGGTACATGGACATTCCTCATGCAATCCAAAACCCAGACACTTACTCACATCAAAAATTTCCTAGTCATGGTCATCACCCAATTTCGTACTTCCGTCCAAAGGGTTAGAACAGACAATGCTAGAGACTTCTTTAATCATAATTGTTCATCCTTCTTTTCCTCACATGGCATCCTGCATGAAAGCTCTTGCACATACACTCCACAACAAAATGGGGTTGTCGAACGAAAACACTGTCACCTCCTCGAAGTAGCCCATGCCCTCAAACACCAAGCCCATATGTCTGTCTCTTTTTGGGGTGAATGTGTGATCACAGCTACATACCTGATCAACCGCATGCCAACCAGAGTCCTTCATGGAAAAACTCCTTATGAGGTATTATTCAAGAAACAACAAACTCTGGACCACCTTCGAGTTTTTGGTTGTCTTTGTTATGCGGCTACTCTTGGATCACATGACAAACTTGGTTCCCGGACCACCCGCTGTATTTTTATGGGATATCCTATGCTTCAGAAAGGTTACAAATTATATGATCCACATGACAAAAGGTTTTTGATCTCTCGAGATGTTGTCTTTCATGAATACATCTTTCCTTTTACCACACAAGATGCTGTTTCCCCATCACCACACAGGTTGTTCCCTGCCACAGATACTCTTCTAGATCCTCTATTCACAATAATACCGACTCCACCGGTCACTCAACCCACAGTTCCTACCGCAGACTCTGACACATCAACACCTGATAGTTCTCCATCAACACTTGATAATTCTCTAGCAGATCCCTAACTTCAGCATCCTTCTCTTGTTTCTCCATCAAGATCCCCTGCTCCAGCTCCAATTGCTCCTATACGTCGCAGTACTCAACAGACTCGACCACCCATCTGGGCAGTAGATTTCGAATGTCCTACCATTTCAGATCCTTCAGATACAATCTATCCTACCTCCAATTATGTGAGTTATGATAACCTTTCTCCTCTGCATAGAGCTTGTATCAGTCACATCTCTGCCGAACGAGAACCCACTAGTTACTCAGATGCTATTCAACACTCTCACTAGCGTCAAGCCATGGCTGTTGAACTTACTACTCTCACACAAAATCATACCTAGGATCTAATGCCTCGCCCCTTTAATAGAAAACCTATTGGCTGTAAATGAGTATACAAAATCAAGCATCGTGCGGATGGCTCCATTGAACACTATAAAGCTCGACTGGTAGCCAAGGGATATACTCAGCATGAAGGATTTGATTATCAGGACACTTTCTCCCCAGTTGCCAAGCATGTTACTGTTCGTGCTTTCCTTATAGTGGCTTCTGTTCGTGATTGGCCTCTCCACCAAATGGATGTTCGTAACGCCTTCCTTCATGGTGATCTTCATGAGAAAATTTATATGGATCTTCCTACGGGATTTCGCCGACAAGGGGAGAACACAGTGTGTCATCTGCGAAAATCCCTCTATGGGCTAAAACAAGCATCCAGGCAATGGAATGAAAAATTCAGTAAAGCTCTCACTTGCATAGGATTTATTCAGTCCGGACACGACTATGCACTTTTCACTAGACACAAAGGTAAAACTTTCATTGCTCTCATAATCTATGTCGATGACATTCTTATTACAAGAAATGATGAAGCAAGCATCAAATCCTTAAAAGAGCATCTCAACAAACAGTTCCGAATAAAGGATCTAGGAGAACCAAAGTATTTCCTAAGCATTGAAATTGGAAGATCCTCGACGGGAATATCTCTTAGCTAACGGAAATATGTCTTGAAACTCATCTCTGATTCAAGGCTATCAGGATGCAAGCCAAGTATTATTCCAATAGAACAGAATACAAAACTGACTACTCAGGAATATGACAGTGGGATATCATCCTCCAAAGAGGATCCACCTCTAGAAGACCCTACAAAGTATCAGAGACTTGTTGGGCGATTAATCTATCTCACCATGACTCGTCCAAACATCAGCTATGCAGTTCACGTCCTTAGCCAATTCATGCATAAGCCTAAACAATCTCACATGGATGCAGCGATAAAGGTTCTAAAATACTTAAAAGGGTGTCTTGGTTTGGGACTCCTCCTTCCTCGAGACAAGAATCTAGATATCACAACCCATTGTGACTCAGACTGGGCCACATGTCCGATGATGAAAAAATCACTTAAAGGCTTCTGTATCAAGCTAGGGGGAGCTCTTATTTCTTGGAAGACTAAGAAACAATCAACAGTATCTCTATCTTCAGCAGAAGCTGAGTATAGAGCCATGACAAAAACAACATGTGAAATCATTTAGATTCTGGGATTATTAGAGGATCTAAAGGTACAAGTAAGAAAACCTGTCCTTTTATATTGTGACAACAAAGTTGCAAACGACATAGCAGCAAATCCAATATTCCATGAGAGAACGAAACATATAGAAATTGATTGTCACTTTGTCAGAAGCAAAATACAAGAAGGGATAATTAAGACTTTGCACATTTGTACTTCAGAACAACCAGCAGACATTTTCACAAAGCCATTATGCAACAGACAGCATTCATATCTACTTAGCAAACTTAGGGTTTTTGATATCTACAAACCCCAAGCTTGAGGGGGAGTGTGAAAATATGGAATGCACAGCTTTTTCTTGATCTCTGCTGGAAGAGATCAAGGAGTGATTTTAGCATTCAATCAATCATATAAATTTATATGATTGATTGAATGAATTACATTTATTTGTATTTATTAATTTCCTTTTCTACATTTACAAAATTTGTATAAATTGGCCATTGTACAGGCTTATACATATATACAGAAAATACATTTTCTCTTCTCTCTTCTCTCTTCCTCTCTGACACACTTTGGCAGTATCATAATATTGAACTGCTAATCTGTCTTCTCTCTTGTTTTCTGACATAAGCCACTTCTTTTTGAAAAAGAAAAAGAAAATTATATTTTGAGACATTAGAAGGCTCATGCACACTTCTCTATAACTCATACCCCAAGTATTCTACTAGAAATGGAGGTAAAAACTACCAGTTTCAAATATTTAAAAACGGATTGTCCGAGAATAGTTCAATAGCTAACTGAAATTTCTCTACGGCTAAAGAAACCAGCTTATCAAACACTAATCTCAGCCCGGCAAAGACCATGAACTCTATATTCAAAAGCTATAAAAAAACATAGCTATCTCTGACAACGGCAAGAAAGCTGGCCAATGAAACTGAGTGGCTCAGCATGAACCTCCTGGGGTGCACTGCATTTATTTGTGCTAGCAATGTTATATCTTAAAGCAAGTACAAAGTGGGAGGACCAAAGATCGAGCTTTGGACTCTTACCGTTTCCATGTGTGCTAAGACAATGTCATGAAGATTCAAGATGCACATTTTACAGAATAGCTTTCATGAAATGGATGGGGACAGAGGCAAAGTTATACAATGGGATTCAAAAGAACCAAGTACCAACTGACCTCATCACACGCTAATTGACCCACTGTGTTTGAATCCTTTGAAGCAGGAACCTCATCACAAAAAAAATAAAAGATGAAATAAAATACAAACCCGAAAGAGAAGCACATTCAGCACGCCCCCAGTGTTTAGCGTCATGTGGCTTCTCCACAATCCCAGAGGAAGTTCATCTTCAAACAAGCTTCTCACTCTTGTCAAAATGACTTGCTTGATCTTGCATCCTAGAAAAATGGTTAAGAAAAAGGCCATAACTAAGGTGAAAAGACTCTGTGCCATGCACAACTGACTAGATTGAAGATAATCTTGCTTTATCTTCAATAAAGGTAATTAATGGAATAACATTAAAACTTTTTTGCCCTTTTAAACAACTTTTTCTTCATTGGTTAAAAAGAGAACAAACGTGACTTTACAATATATACATACAGATAACCAGTTGAATACATTAAAAATTATAATCAGATATCATGTAAGGCAGTCACTTGAGATCTACTGGACTTTCCCAAAGACCTGAAAAACGCAATCATATGGTTGTGAAAATCTTCCTTCGCTTTTATGCTCAAAATAAAGTCCATGTGACCATAGTTTTCGAGATAAAGCAATTCTGGTGTCGACTGCAATTCCTTTAGAGTATGCTGTACATCTGTCACGTCTGCTAAAGCATCATTTCCACCATAACACATCCATAATGGCAATGACTTGGGAATGCGGCTAAGATCAAATGCTGGGGGTTTTGTCTGACCATATAGCTTCAAGTTTTTGAAGATTCCATAATTGTACAGCGAAAAAGTACCCTTACGGATCACTGCCAAATGTAAGAAAAGCACAAACAGATTTTGAGTGTCCTAATAAAATTAACATAATTTTTAATTATTGTCTTGAAAAAGAAATAAAGGGATCCACTTTCTGAACACCATGATATATGCCACCATTGAATTTGTTTACGTTAAACCCCAAAATATAATATAAAAAAATAAATAAGAGTAAAAAAGATAAAGGAGTTGGTTTGCTGAACTACTGTAAAACTGAATGTGAATCATGCATTACAAAGTGTTCACTGAACCTTAAACAGAATAAATAGAGGAACAACAAGGATGTCTATAAGGTGCAGGTAATATTGTTTAATAACTGTAGCAAAAATAAGAAAGCAGCTTCCAACTATAAAGCTTGTTGCATGAAAAATAATCAGATTTGCAGGTGAAATAAAAATAAATAAAAAGAGAAAAGAAGAGTTCCCAGAAGGAAATGTATGGAGTATACTCTGGAACAGATGGCGCATGTTTTTTGCAGAAGAAGGATGAGGTTCATATTCCAGATAGAAGTCCACTCGTGAGTTATTGAAGCAACAATTCTTTCCTGCAATAAATTGTGCGTCAGCATGGTCCATTACAAATAGCATAACAAAGAGCACTGCAGTTATTTTGTTGAAGAAGAATATATCACCATTTATAAAGCCCTTAAATGAGCACTAATTAAACTACAATGTAAGCCCACTAATTTCGAACTTTCTGAACAGGTGATACCCACTAATCATATGACTCAGCAAGTTATTTTAAATTTCACAAAGAAAAATTTCTTATAATTTTCACTCAATACTTTGTATGTCTTTTTTTTTCCCTCCCTAACACTTCGCTGCAAATTGCAATGACCACTTCCAAACTCAGACACTTAAGGTGAGAAAGAATGAATCTCAACTTTGGAAAATCCTCAATTGTAACTGCTTGGGATCTGATTCTTCTTTGTTTAAGGGGAAAAATGATCAAACAAACTTGGAATTCACTTATCATATCCTAAAATCATGGATTGCTGTTGAAGTCTATATAGGGCCATATCCTCCAACAGATCATGGAACCTGAGAGCCTAAAATAGATAAAAATCATAAACGGTCAAGTGTTTAAGAAACACCTTAAATTGTTGCTTGAGAAAAGGCAATAGAAACTATTTACTAGAAGAGTATTCCAACGGTAACAAATCAGAGACAGATAATGAGTGAGGGTGTGTGAGTGATACAGAGAGTTAGCGAACCTGTTATGGTAGTTAGTAAGTCATTGCAATCTAAATGGCCATCGCATAGAGAGTCGACAAGACTGATTAACACATTACTGAAGATAAAATACAGAATAAAATTAATATAAAAAAACAACGAAAAGTTCACCAACACTTAGAAACATGAAATTTAAAATGATTTGAAGCATAATAAAACCTTCTAAAGTTCACTTGATGTAAGCCCATAGCAAAAATCATCTGCAGGAAAGAATTTACAATCAATTCTATCACTAGAAATCATTTCCACAAAGATAAAGGGTAGCAAAGGACTACCTGATCAAGATGCACGGCAACCATTCTTAGTACAAGAGGAGCACTAATATGTTCTAAGTACGTTATTGGCGACAGAAGAGCAGCAGCCTCAACCATTTTGACTATATCCAGCTGGGTGAGAGCAGCCAAAGTTATGATTGTTCCCTGTGAAGCATGCAAATAAAAGAAGCACATACTGAGGCAAGGAGCTAAAGAAGGCAAACTTTAATGTGAAAAGAATAGTGGTTGGAACCTGTGAATGTCCAACAATGAAGATTTTTGAGCTTGTGATCATATTTACAGTGTGTATCATTTCTGCAGCATCGTACAGAGCCAATTCCTGCCAACTCCAATCCCAAAAATCCTGCAAGAAAAATCTGTGCTTACTATGCTCATACAAATAAGCAAAAAATGTGTGGAGTGTATTCCAACTTGAATCCCCCTCCATTCTCCATTTGTATCCTCCTCAACATTGCCACAGCTCAACCTTCACTATACAAGACAAACTAGGACCAACCAGTCTGCATATGCAATTTAAGTGGGCCTCAATTATGGATACAGGCAACCACTAAACAACTAGATGATCAAACTTCAGAAAATGAGGAAATTTTAAGCATAAACTACAAGCACCTTGTTGTTCTCAGATAATGATATATGCCCATGACTCCAACGCGTTCCACGCACATTTCCAACCCATACATCAAAACCATGATCTGCAAGGACGAAGCCCAATGACTCCTCTAGAGAGTCCAAAAACCACGCATCACCTCCCTGTTCAGAAAAATTAGCAGGTTTTGCCTAATGGCATTGAGAAAATCTCATACTTGAAAACTTATCCAACTAACAAACCAACTGCTGAACATATTTATTTATGTAAATATAAGGTACAGCATATTCTCAGTATCATAATTTATCCAGAAATTGCTAAAGACATCTATAACATGACTATAAGAGATATACTACATGGAATTCCAGCATTTATTGTTTAGACCATATATCTTTGCGCTAAAATTGACAAGCGGGCACACAGAGAAAGATCCTACCATCTGAGCATTTAAGTTATATAATAAAAATGAGAACATGAAATCAAGAATGCGGCGCTATTCTCTATATAGGTAGTGGCAGTACAGTGAGAACAGTGAGATGCTCACCATAAAGAGACCATGCAACAGCAAAACAGGAGGACCTCGCCCAACTCTTAGATTAGCATTCCTCGATGACACACGTTGGAGACCCAATAAGTAGCCATCCTTTGTTTGAATCTATCAAAACAAGAGAAAAAAAAACATATTTTAATGACCAATAGAAAACTCAAGTTACAGATGATTATAAAGTCAATTTCTCGCTAACAATTTAATGTCCAAGAGCTTTCAAAAGTTACTTTTGTTTCTATTTTACTGTATTCAGATAAAAATGGAGAAGCATTCAGATATGTAATTTCATAGAAGCTCCTTTTTAATTGTTAAAGCAATTAATTGCTTTCTATAGAAGCACTAAACGAATTCTTTTTAAAACTCTTTTAGTACTTCTTCAAAAGCATTCCCAAAGCAACATAAGACTTCATTTGGCTGCTTCAGAAAGTTCAAAACGGAAAAAGAAAGAAAGTAAATTGATATGCAGCATTTGCATTATTAACTCATTAACTTCGTCAGATTCACCAAAAATTTCTCCACTCTCTCACAAATTTTGACACAAAACCGAGATAAATTAAGGCTTTGTTTTTCGCCTAGAAAATCGGTAAATTAAATTTAATTCATTAAATTTCGATTTTACGATTAGCAGTTTTATTAAAAAAAAAATAAATAAGATTTGACCGTATTTGACCGTTAGCTCAACAACCAAATAATATTTTGCTCCGCCTTCTGAGAAATTAACTAAATTGCAAGCAATTATAAGATTTATACAATAATTAAGTAATTAGAGAGAGACGTTACGGTGTGTTCGGTGCAGGGGTAACCATTGGGCTGAATGAGCTGAGCACAGAGGGAGAGAGCGCCATTTTCCGGTGATCGGAGCCGCGAAATTGAATCAGAAGGTTGGGCAGCGGAGATTTCTAGGATGGATAGAGCGAGGGCGGTGGAAATCACCAGTAATGACAGCAACCTCTGCATCTGTGTCTCTGAAAGTACAGAGAGAACGAGAAAGGTCAGGTAATTGCCCGTGAAGGGGGAACGATATTTTATGACATTTCTTCTATTCTTCAAGTTTTAACTTCCACGGGGCGTTCCGTTGGTGGTAATGGGAGATTCTAAATCTTATATTATTTAATATAAGATTTTGGTAAACTTCAAATACTAACGGGGGTATTTGGTTCGAGAAATGTTAAATTATTGGGAATGTTGAATTATTAAGAATCTTTAAAAAATATGTTTGATTGGTTGGTGGGTATGTTATATTAATATGTTTGGTTATAGGGAATAAATTGGTGGGTATGTTATTTAAATTACTAAATTGTCCCTTTTTTAAATATTAATATAATATTATTTTTATTATTAATTTTTGAATATTTTTTTAACCCCCAATATTTCAGATTTAGCTAAAACACTCCTGCTTATATAAAACTTTAATTTATTACGAAACTACCCCCACCTCCTGCCGTCGCCTGCCGTCACCACAAACCACTGCAGGAAGTCTCCAAAAGTCCCCGTGAGTAGCTCATCGTGACCAAGAGGCTTCGCTATGGCCGTTTCTGGCCATATTGATGGCCGAAAACAGCCATATCAGGCCAGATGTGGCCGGAAATGGCTAGATCTATTCTGGCCATTTCCGGCCAGATCCCTAGCCATTATAGGCCAAATCTGGGCGAGATCTAGCCGTTAACAGCCATGGACTTGGCCGTTAAGGGCTAGATTTATTCCGGCCAGAATAGATCTGGCCATTAACGACCATGTCTGTGGCCGTTAAGGGCCAGATCTCGCCCAAATCTGGTTGTTAATGGCCAAAATAGATCTAGCCATTTTCGGCCAGATCTGGCTTGATATGGCAGTTTTCGGCCATCAATATGCTTGGAAACGACCATATCTAAGCCTCTCGGAGCCTTCTATCGAATCTCGTTCTTTTTTAGGGACTCTGGCAACTTTTCGATGGTGGTCCATGGTGGTTGGACCGCTATCAGCGGTGGTGGCTGGGTGGTAGTGGTGGTCTGTAAATTGTTTTAAATATAAGGGCATTATTGTCCAAAATTTTAATTAAACAAGGGTAAAATTGAAATAGGATATTAATGTAAATTTCTTTTAAAATAGGGGCATCATTGTCCAAAATTTTTATTAATAAGGGATAAAATTGTAACAAAAAAAGATAACCCTAGTAATATTAGAATACCTAAGAAAATGGAGGTAATCAGATTACTTCCAATATTACCAATAGTAACCATTATTGGTATTCGAAGATTACCGATATCTTATATTACCTGACAACCAAACATAGTAATCAAGTAATATAAGATGACTTAATCCCCAATAATCTCATATAACCCCAACCAAATGCGCTCATAGTAGTTACTGTTGGTAATATTTGAGGTAATCTAATTACCTCTATTTTTTAGGTATTGTAAGATTACCGGGGTAATTTTTTTTTTTAACAATTATATCCCTTATGAATAAAATTTTAGGACAATAATGAATTTATTTTTAATTTATTTACATAAATGTTGTTTTTACTATTTCACCCCAATTAATTAATTTTTTGGATAAAATTACCCTTGAATTCAAAACAAATTGCAGCCCACCCAAGTCATCACCCCCACCTACCTGCCGTCGGCAACCATCGTTGCCGCTAGCCACCGTCGCAACCAAAACGACACAGAGAAGGCCGAAAAATGGCTATCGTGAGCTGTTATGGCCGTCGACGGCCAAATCCGTCGACGGCCAGATCTGTCATGTCTGGCCATTTCCGGCCAGATCTCTGGCCGGAAATGGCCATACAGAGCACAAGGCCATTTCCTGCCTTCCGTGCGCCGTTAGGTTGCCGGCAGCTGGGTTGGTAGGGGTACTTTGTTGATTTTTTAAACTTTTATTATGGAGATGTTTTTGCTAAGTTTTTAAATGCAGGGGAGTTATATAATCCAAATAATAATCAATATTAAAAAATAATATAATAATAATATTTAATTAGAGGACAATTCAGTAATTTAAATAACATACCCACCAATTTATTCCTCCCAATCAAACATATTAATATAACATACCCACCAATTAACTAAACACATTTTCCTAAAGATTCTCAGTAATCTTCAAGGTAATATAACTTTCCAATAATCCAACATTCCTATTAATCCAACATTCTCTAAACCAAACGCCCCCTTAAGAGAGTTTATCCATGCTCAATCTGTCTGCCGGTCTCACAAAAATCTTTCACGGGCGAACGACTTGAACCCACCCATAGTTTTCTGTAAAGACAAGTTGGTACCAAAATGTTTAGAAATGACAAACAGCCACTTTCCTTTAGATTTGGTTAGAGATTTGATTTCTGTCAACAATGCTAAAAAAGACTGAAATGCCCTCAAAAGTTTGATATTATAGTTTTTGTTAATCTATGACAAGTCAATTCAATCAATTACATAAATACCCTCATCACCTACATTAAATTACTAGTATACAATCAAGTTGTTATGGGTTTATAAAATGATCAATTTGTCTTCGTGAGTTTGTAAATATACTGTTTTTTTTTTTAAATATATATCTTGAGTTATGGATTTAAATCACTCATTTAAAAAAAAATATATATATATATCATATAATAAATATATATATTAATTAATAATTAATTCAAAAAAAAATAAAAAAAGCCCAAATTTAACGGGGCAGTTTATTAAAAGGTCATCTGAAGTTTGAATTTAATTAAAAGACTATCAAGTTTTAAAGTGTTAACTAAATAGCCATATTATTGATTAAGGGTAATTAAACTTGATTAATGCTTAATTAGGATTAATGAAGTATTATTTAATCTTTTAAAAAATATACTATATTCCCCAAAACCCGAAATTCTTGCAAACAAACCCAAACACCTTCTTCTTCCTCCTACCATTAACACATCTCTACCTTGGTTGTTGTTTCTTCTTAACTTCGTCTAAATCTTCTTCTTCCTCCTTCCTCTACATCTTCTTCTTCCTCATTCCTCTATATCTTCTTATTCCTCCGCCATTAACACTTTCTTCTTCCTCCACCATTAACATCTTCTCCGCCAAAGATGCCCCTCCTCCTCCTCCTCCTCCTCCTCATTCTGACATTTTGTCTAAGTATGTGTATCTCCTTTTTACATTTTATATTTAGATTTACAAAGATTTAATAATGGATGGGGTTTGGGTTATGATTTTGATTTAGTTGTTTAGGTTGTTGGGTTATGTTTGATGTAATGCAAGTTGAAAGGAGTGAAATTTGTTGAAAATTTGTTCTGGATATGTGTTTTGGGTATGATGGATCACTTAAGCGATCTGGTGTACCGCTTAAGCGATCTGGTAGGTCTGGTAATGCAACAAATAGATCGCTTAAGCAATAAGGTATACAGCATATAGATTGCTTAAGCGATTTGGTAAAAGTTTGGTGTATAGGAGTAGATCGCTTAAGCGATCAGTAAATGGCATAAGATCGCTTAAGCGATCAGTAAATGGCGATTATGGTTATTTATATTGGATCGCTTAGGCAATACAGCAGACCATATAAGCAACTGTGCAGATTCTTTTTATAATATTTGAACCCTTAGTACAACATTTAAGAATATTTTTTTTCTTGCATTACAGGTAGTTGGCTATAATTACACATGGGACAAATTGTTTTAGGTGTTGAATATTTTGGTAAGTGGGTGGAGGAAGAAAGTAGCTGGAAGTGGATTGGGAAGAGCAAAGAAGTTATACCAATTGTTGTGAGCACAGAGGTTAGTTTTGATGAGTTGATTGATGAAATAATTAGAAGAGGCAATTTGAGTTGCTCGCGTAGTGATATAGTTGTGAAGTATGTTTTAAGCAGAGTTCTTGAACATTATAAGGTACCTCCTACTATATTAAAGTCGAATGAAAGTGTGAAGTTATATATGATTGATGTGGCCGATAATGTTGAGGCCGATTTTAAGGGTTTCTCTTGTAGAAAAACCGTTGGAAGTTGGTTCAAAGGAAGAGGATAACGAGGAAGTAGGTGGAGATTTGCCTGGTTTTAATTTAAACTACGAGGCCATTGATTTGTTAGTTGAAAAATTAAGAGTAGATGGTGAATTGGGTGGTGAGGAGGACACTGTAGAAGAGGTTGGTGATGGGGGGCAGAATGAAAATGTTGAGGAGGAGGACCCCATAGATGTTCCCATGGATGTAGAGATTCCTTTAAATACAGATTATGTAGAAGGTGTAGATTGTGAGGAAGAGAACACTATGGTCGTTTATGCAGGTTCAGAGGGGGCAATTGGAGGTAGTAATGAATCAGCTCATGTTTTTATGGATGGATCAGGGTTGCGCATAAGGTATTTATTTGATAACAAAGAGGAAGTGCTAAGGAAGCTAAAACTTGTTGCCGTAAGAGGTAATTTTGAGTTCATCACCAAAGAGGTAATTTTGAGTTCATCACCAAAAAGTCAAATTCATTGGCTGTGACGGTTGCATGTCGTGAACAAAAGTGCAAGTGGCGGGTTTATTATAGAAGGTTGGCGGAGTCGGAAAAATTTATTCTTAGCACATATACCCGAGAGCACACTTGTGGTTTGGGACATATTTTAGGTGAGCATCGACAAGCGTCCGTTGATGTTATTGGACAATTTGTCAAAAGTTGGTTCGTTGAAGGGAAAGGTCCATCTCCTAAAGACATTCAGAGACTTGTGCGCATAGAGTTGGGATGTGCTGTTGGTTATTGGAAATGCTGGAAAGGGAGACAACATGCACAAGATTTTGTGAGGGGCACATTGGAGCACGGGTATGCAGTATTAGAAGCGTACCGTTATATGCTTGAGTTGACAAACCAAGGTAGCAATACGGTTTTGAAGTGGGACAGGAATATGATGTTTAAATATTTTTTTGTTGCTTACGGTTTTGCTATAAGGGGTTTTGTAAACATGAGAAAGGTGTTGGTTGTTGATGGTTGCTTTCTGACAGGAAAGTATGGAGGTACATTGTTGGTGGCCACTGCACAAGATAGCGAGAATCACACATATCCTGTTACATGGTGTGTGGTTGACTCTGAGAATGACGAGTCGTGGACTTGGTTTTTTTGTCAATTATGTACTATAGTGCCTGATAGTGACGAGTTGTGCATAATAT